CAAAGGTTCCATCTCTTAATACCATCATATGAGGAGTAGGATTTCAACAGAGGTATTCTGAAGGGATGCTAACAGTCAGACCATAGCAAGTGATTATTTGGTAAGATTTCAGATATTCTATGGGCGTATTTAATTGTAATTTGTAACAGTAATTACCAGTTCATTACTTATACAATAAAAATAATAAATAAAAGAAAAATATAACACTATAATAAAAGCTCATATTAGCTAATACTTATTAAGCTTCATATTGTATGTCTTGAATTCTTAATAATTTTTAAATAATATGTCAGTATATTACTCATGCAATAAAAATAATAAAAGAAAAATATAACTATAATATTAGTTAATATTAGATAATATTTAATCATATATTGTGTGTCTTGTGCTTTTATAAATAATTTGCATGGCTTACCTCATTTAATTGTGACTTGCTACTCATCAGTTCTTATTTATGCTATAGATTATCAGGATGTCAATTTTCATGCTAAAATGTGAGAAATAATGTAATTTCATATTGGATCAGTTTTTGGATGGAGTCTATAAATCCTTGAGGCTGTATCCTGTGTGTGTGTAAGAGTGTCTGTGTGTGTTTCTGGGGAGCAGGCACTTAACCTTTTAAGCAGATTATGAGATGGGTTAATATTGCCCCCAATAGTTTTGGTTGTACTCACCATTCAGTTCTGTACTGATGAGAACTGAGCTTCCAAGGAGGGATACTAACAGAGAAGCTTATCTATACAGAGGAGAGGAATTTATTTTTCCATCTCATTAGTCTACCAGAAGTAGTTGGAAAAGATGACAAACAATAGGAGTTGTGACCTGAGGTTATATTTTCAAGAAGTCTAGGAAGAAATTAGGAGATAAGGAAGCTCTCAGGTGTCAGTAGTGTTCTAGCCAAAGCAGAACTCTAGTTTTAGAATGTGCCTAAACTGTTAATTTTTAGTGGAATATAATCAAATGTATACTATAACATATATACTATATATAACCTAATATCTATACTATATATATAGCTTATATATACAACATATATACTATTATATACTATGTGTATACTAAATAATAGTATATATAACCCCTGATAGCTTGTTCAGAGGTTTTGCAGGATGAACGTGTAAGAATAATGAAGAAAGAAAGCTGAGAAGGGATTCCTAACGTAGCAACCTGATTTACCATATCAATCTGGGTGTTTCGCAGCAAAGTTATTTTTGCTTTCAATTCTGTCTTTTAAATCTAAAATAGTAGATAATTCAAAGTCATTAATACTTGGCTTGGGGAAATGTGTTTTGTATTATTAACTATATGAGTAAATGCATCAGTATAGAATTTCTATTCTTTAAAAAAAGGAATAATGTATCATGAAACTTAAGTGAAGAGGAGCCAGATTGCTGCCTTTTGAATTCATCCTGGTTACTTGTATGTCTGCTGCAGAGTAGGGCTGGTCAGTTCCCTCCTCAGAATGATGAGAGCCAAAAAATTTAGCTATATCATAACTCTCATCTATTGCCCTTTATGTCATTCTTTCCTGAGCAGTATTGGTTATGAGTAGAAATGTGTAACATAAAAGTTGCCATACATTGAAAGTTCATAGCTGCCAGACCCTGTACCAAGTGCCTCACTTACTTCATTTGAATCTTAAAATAGCTTTTATGAAATTTATCCTATTTTACAGATAAGAAAACTGAGTACTGGAGAGATTAAATTGCCTAAATTCACATCATTCATTAAATAGCCTTGTTGGAATTAAAACCTAAATCTAGCTGACTTGGAAATCTGTGTTCATGGCATCATGTTTTATAACTGTCCTTACTTAGACACAAAGAACTTTCAAATCTCTATGCCATGTTTCTTCAGGGTATGACCTTTAGCCCTGCTTTCAGGATATTACAGGGAGGCTGATGAGAATCTAGATTGCTGCCTAAGACTTACACCAAAGGTAATGAATTAGAATCACTGAAGCATTTAATGAACTCTCTTGGAATCCATATGCTTTCTCTGGAGCATACTATGGATTGAAAAGTACAGTTCAATTTTTTTTTTTTTTTTTTTGTAATACTGACCATATGCCTTGAAACTCTTTTAGCCTTCTGTATTTTCTTCTGATGTCCCTCTTACTCTGCTAACCATTGCTCCTCTGTCTTCTCTAATTGGTCTTCTTTCTGCCTTCAGTTACTTGGTATGCTGCCCATGGCCCTTTTTCCTCCTACAGCTATAACTACTATTAAATATTAAGACCTCACAATTACTCTTGCTCCTCATCCCCAAGTCGCTCCTGAGTTTCAGTACCTTCTTTTTATCAATGTTATTCTAAATCTATGGATGCCTATATATTCTTCAGGTCTTAAATTTAGCATGCCAAAAAGAGAACTCATTATCTTCTCCCCACACACTTCCTCTGTCATTATTTTCCCCTCATGCAGTCAATGCTGTCACTACTCAGTCTTCTGAGCTTGAAACATCAAAATTGCATCCAGACTTCCCTTTCCCTCACAACCTCCATTCAGCAGGCAGTCATCAAATCCTTTTTTTATCACCTCTGAAATGCCATTTACATCATTCTTTTCTACATTCTCATTACATCTCATCATCTCTTACTTTGTACTTTGGATTACATAATAGTTTTGTTATCATTCAATTACCCCAATATCCAGTATATCCACACTGCACCAGAGACATTTTAATAATAAACACATTTGAACATCTCATTCTTCTACTTAAAAATAGCTTTTGGTTCCCTATTGCCTTCAATATAAAATCCAAATTTTTTGCGAGGCCTATCTTAATCTCATTTTGTCTGTCCCACGTCTTCTCACCACAAACCCTAATTTATGTCTGAACAAACTCCTCACTATGTCTCACTTTCTCACCCCAATACATCTGCACATGTCATTCCATTAGTTTGGAATCTCTGTCTGCATATGAGAGATTGGTCATTCTTTGCATGTATTTCCGTGGTATTTACTTCTGAGTTATGATGGAGTAATAATTAAGAGCCAAGGTCCTAAAACCAGACTGTCTGGGTTCACTACTTAATAACGCTCTGTGCCTCAGTTTCCTTACCTATAAACTTGGAATAATAGTAGTACCGATGTCAAGGCTGTTGAACATTGGAAGAGTTAACTCATGTTCATTGCATGTGGCTAGCATGTAATAAGCTGACATTAAGCATTTGCTGCTATTTCTATTGTGATAATCATGATGGTAATGATGCAGCAATCTCCCCCAGGAAGCACTAAAGGAATCGCTTATTAATACTGTTGCCAACTCAGAGATCTGTGGTCATACCAAAGTAAAAATATTTTACCTATAAAAAGTATGGATCCAGTTTGGAGGCTACGTTAGCTGCCTCATGGCATTTCTAGTCTCTCCAAAGTTCTCCACTGGTGGAAATACACTAATCCTTGGACATATGATTTTCCCCAGACTGGCAGTACCTTTGTTATTAGTATGGAAGGTGCTCCAATATATTTCTGGATGATGGAGCCGGTTATACTGTGGGTATACCGTGGGCTGTTGTAAATCAAACTCCAAACCTAGGCAGGACTCCTGAGTGTAGCAGAGGGAAGTTCTTTGTGTCACTTTAAGGCATCCTAAAATAAATATAGGCCCACTGAGTCGGAATTTGGTTCCCTCTTCTGTCACATAGTGGGCAACATCATAAGAAATATTATTTAGCATGAAATATCAGAATTTAGCAAAATATTTATAGACACTTTAATTTTTATAAAAGTACTACAGATATATTTGTTTGGATGTTATTTTTAGTTTGACGATCATGGTCCTGAAAAATTAAATGCAAATTAAATGTTTCTTAGCATAGGTTATCATTTAAAGCAACTCTACAATAAATAATTTAAATTATACTCTAGCTTTCTAGTTTTTATTTATTGGAATATAAATATACTAGTTTCTTTAAAGTAGGACATACTTGTGTTGGCCATGGTACTTAGCCATAGCTAAGTTTCTAACTAAAAGGAGAAACGTGTGGCTTAGAAAATTGTAATGTTAAAGTGATAAATGAAAGTAAATTTTAGAAAATAATGTTTAATTTTTAGGAGGGAAAGGAGCGGTAAATTAGAAATCCAACTTGGGAAAAACAATAGGAGCCCATCTATTAGATGTCTAATATTTAAATTTGATTTTCAGAATGAAAAATATGTATGTGTTATTATTTCGTGTTTTAAGTGTTTTGAGTTTCTGGTTTTCATCATTATAATAAGAAATAATATTTAAATGGATTCCTAACCAAATATCTCAGCTAAACACACACACATAAACACTTGAAATTAAAAATACACATCTAATGGTAGTGCATAGATCGGAGAAAGAAAATGAATAATGAGAGTGATGACTTGGGTTTCTGTATCACCTAAAGTTTATAGCACACTTGCCTAATGTGATGAGGTAGAAAGAACTTTGGATTTTAATCAGAACTGAAATCCAGTGGTTCTTTTTCTATGTATCATCTCTGTGAGATTGGACAAATTCCTTAACTACCCAGAGCTTTGGATTTCTCATCTATGAAATGGACATAATAGAGAGTTCCTTTGACGACCAAAAAATAAGGTACATACAAAGCCTTTGGAAATTATAAAGCATTCCACAGATCTCAGAGATTAATGAGAAATAGAGACTTTGGAAGTTACTCAAAAATTTCAAAGATTATTTCAGAGTTGAAAAAGTTATGACAGAGATAACTGTTCTCAGTCTGTGCATCAGGAAAATGAGACATGCAACATGGAGTACATAGCCAGGCTAAAAGCAGACCCTGGGTTTCTGAGTTCAAATGTGGTTGGTAGTCTTTGGGCTAGACTATGCTGTTTTCTGAACCAGGGTTGTACATCATTTACAGGGGACAGATATAGTAAATTGTAACCTCAACTTATTATAAGTACTTTAAAACAATATAATTATTGAATTATCTTAGTTAAGAAATGGGAACATTATTAGATATGATTTATTTTTGTTTTATTTGTTTTTGTTTTGTTTTAATGCAGGCAATGAATTTGGGCATCCTGAATGGTTAGACTTCCCAAGAATAGGAAATAATGAGAGTTACCATTATGCCAGAAGGCAGTTTCATTTAACTGATGATGACCTTCTTCGCTATAAGTTTCTAAATAACTTTGACAGAGATATGAATAAATTGGAAGAAAGATGCAATTGGCTTTCAGCTCCACAGGTAAGCTCTTTACTGTAAATGTTATGTTTTAGTCACCAATGTTGTACATGCTTAGAAAGGCAATAGATTTAAATCTATATGCAGGTCCTTTAAACAGCACTTTATTATTCAGTGTCAAAACATGTTATTGAAGTCTCTCCAATAGATAATGAAAATCTTGAGCATAATTCCCTGCTTACTTTCCTGTTTAGTGTGTTGTTGTTTAAATTTAGTAATTTTTATTTCAATTGGTTAAAATAAATGACAAAAGCTCTGCATGGAATCCATTTTGGAAATTGCTGTGGAAACATCTTAATTATTTTGACTGTTTTTCTTTATATAAATAATGATGCTGTCATAAATTACTTTGAATACATGTAGATTTTTTTTTTATTCCTTTTCTTTCTTCTTTTACTGGTCTCTAACTTGTTATTTCAATAGATGCCATTATTCTTGCATACTGTTTCATATTTTTCATGAGCCTGACTCTCCACTGGAATTAAAATCTCAGTTTTCAATAAGTTTTCAAAAATGTAATTAACAGGTGCAAATTTTATACACGCTTTTTTTTTTCCTTGAAAAAATTAGCATATAGTGTATGTTACTTATAATCCATTTACTTTTTACTGGTGGTATTTGAAATTGCTGTTGATGTCTTTTTACTCTGCTGTCTATGATTTTTTTTAATGGTTAAACAAAGGTACCTATATATCCAGTAAGATTGGTTACATGACATGAATGCCCTACTCACATTTATCAGTAATGCTATTTCCAAAAGAGAGCAAAATGATGCTCCTTTTCAATAGGAACCATGTTGAATACCAAAAGCATGCTGTTTACTTTAGAGCCTCAGTTCATGTTTCTAAATTACCAAGAGTTGTACTGCTGATATGCATGGAAATAAGTCCTCTTGTACCTGGGACTGGAAGAGGGTGGTGTTGAAAAGTCAAAGACTTCCCACTGCCTACTATAAAACATTATGTATAAAATAAGACAGTTTGTAGATGTTGTACTTTCTTTTCAGATCTCTTTTATTAGGCAAAATATATATTGAAAAAGACTAGATTGCTGTTGAGTCTGACAAAGCTATGCTATAATGCAAAGTTTTTTTTAAGATAACTACAACTGCAGGAATAAATATAATAATGTTATATTTTGAAAATTTTACCTCATTAATATGGTAACTAAAACAAAAGTCTTAAAAAATTCACATATAAGTAGATCTAATATATATATACATATATATACATATATATATATATATACATATATATATACACACACAAACAAACACTTTATATATATCCCATGTCCCTTGTTATTACCCAAATCAAAACCCACAACACTAATTGTCTGTTTGTGCTTTGTTTGAATTTGGCAATGGCTCATGAGATTTTTATACTTTTTGAGCAGTTTTTGAGACTATTGATGGCTTAGAGTTTGATATCAGAAAATTACAACATGTTCAAAAAAATACAATGTGCTGGCATTTTCCTTTTTGGCTTACTAACTAACGAAGCTATTAATAAACACAAAAACAACTTTTTTGTAAATAATTTACTTATAGTAGCATCAAGGTATTCTTTGAATGTAATATATGTGTTAATTTTTGCAGGCCTATGTGAGTGAAAAGCATGAAGCCAATAAGGTCATTGCTTTTGAGAGAGCAGATCTTCTTTTTATTTTCAACTTTCATCCAAGCAAGAGCTACACTGATTACCGAGTCGGAACGAAATCGCCAGGAAAATATCCTTTTTGTTTCCAGTGAATATAACTGTCTGCATTCATTCTCTTTTTTAATATAATAGAAAATAAGAAAGACTAATGCTGGTCTTGGTGACAGTAGCTCTCAGTTTCCTCATCTGTAAAATGAGGAACTTGAAATAGTCTATTGGTAAATCTTTGCTCAGCTCAGTTATACTAAATTAATCCTAAGCTTCATTCTGGTCCTAAAATGTATGATCCTGAACATTTTTAAAAATGTTTGAACCAGTATGTAATACAGGAAGTAATTGTAGTTTTTCTTTATGAAAATATTTTGTAAGTTCCCTCTGAGAATAGTCTTTTTTCCTTTTCTCTTTCCTGTCTGTTATAATGCAGAACATAGCTCACCTTTGTAGGCCTGAATTGGTAAAGAATCAAGGTATGGGAGTGTGAGCAAAGGAAATAGCAGGGAGAATGTGTTTGATATTCTTTATATATTCATTCATTCATTCATTCATTCATTCACATTTATTTCACAGATAATTATTGAGCACCTATTTATTGAGCACCTGTGTGTAACCCTGTGCTAGGTGCTCTAAATACAGGAATTTTCTTGGCAGATACAGCCACTGCCCTCATGGAATTTTTAACATAGTGAAGAGGGAAAACATTAGTACTTGTAAGTTAGACAGTTGTTCCAAAAGGAAAAGTACAGTGTATTTTAAGAGATTATGACTTAGCAGATTCATGACAAAAATGACAAATTCAGAACCTGGCTACAAACCAGCACAGGTTTTTAAGCAGGCAGTAGAAATAATATTCTTTGTCCCTGGAGCCCTAGCAATGATTAACATCTGCCACCTGAGCAAGAAGACTGATGCCAACATAAAGTCCCATGTGTCAGGGTATCTCTAGCTACAATAAGATAACTCCCTTGTTCAACTTTCTTAGACAATAAGGAAAATGTATTGTCCACTTAATAAAATCCCCAAGATAGGGTGACTCCAGCACTGCGACAGTATCATCAAGTTCCCTGGTTCATTGTCTTCCTGCTTTGAACTTTCAGGGTATCAGCAATGTCCAAAACTTGGCACCTGTTATAGTTGCAAAGCAATAGCCATGGTTCCACATGCTACCTTCAGACACAACAGAAGGCAAATAGATTTTATTTTTTTGCATCTGTTACAAGAATGAAGTTACTTTAGCAAATTTTCTTTATATTGTGAACGCACAAAGAGGCAGATAAAGAAAATCAATGTGATAATGTTACCTGCACTTAAAAAGATCTGTACTATTACAAGAAGCAAGTGCTCTCACCATCTCCATGAAGAATGCAAACAAATAATAGACATATAGCAACTCATATATGACCATTATGAGCTGCTAAAGCCCTTAGATTAAATTCTTCCATACTTAATAATGTAATATAATCAAATACAATCAAAATATAAATGTAATTTTTGTTATAATCAAACCAAAACACATTTACAGACCTTCAAGAAGAGATGTATAAAACCAAACTATGATGTAAGACATAACGCAATAACTGGGAAGGGAACACGAATGTTTCAAGAGAGAACAGAGGACAAGAAAAAAATAAATGAGAGATCGATTGATTGATTTAAGGAAAAGACTTTTAAGTCTAGATGAGGGAGAGGGAAGAAGAAAGAGGGAGTGATGTTGAGATACTGAGATTGATTGATTAAGGAAAAGGCCTTTAAGTTTGGATCTGGAGAAATGGATAAAATCATAATAGAAAAATTGAGGAAGGCCATGTCAGCTGTTGGAAAGCATAGATATGCTTAGATAATGGACAGCACAATGGATTGACTGGAAGATGATGACCATAAAAAGAAGTATTAAATGATAAAGCTGAAAAGAAAGAATAAGATCACATAATGTAGGATTTTAATGCCATATTAATTAGTTTAGGCTTTTTTTTTCTATAGTTTTATAGTGAGTCATTGAAGGTTTTGAGCTAGGAAGCTGCTTGATGAGAATGTATGCTTTAGGAAACATCTCATATACACAGTATGTAGGAGAGCTTTTTTGAGGAGAGGGATTAGATGCACAGATAATAATTATGAGAAATTACAGATAACTAGTACATGAACTGAAGTAATAGCAATAGGATACAAAGAGGTATATGAAGCCTTTCTTGTTCTAAAAGAAGTCAGCCATTGTTTGGACATGGTGTATGAAAGAGAAAATATAAGATTTCACATTGAACAATGGGAAGAATGGTACAGTATTATTACTGAGTATAGCAAAGCAAGAAGGAGTAACCAAGTAGGGGAACAAAAAATTTGAGTTTAATTACAAATCATTGACATAGGAATTTTAATGATGATGTTTAGAAGAAAAATCTTGGTTCAAACAACATGACCTCCTATCTAAAATCTATTTAACTTTAATAAATGCTATTAAATGAAAACATTTTTATTAACATAGTAGAACCCACTCAAAAGTTAACTTTGGTAATACAAAGTTAAACTGTACATAAAAGGCTAATTTGGTTTTGATAAACTTTGACCTAAATTGAGTCTCCTGAAATAAGTGATTTGTCTAAATGTCTATAGTCACCTGTTTCACAGACACTCACTCTATATATTCACAAACATTGAATGCTTAGCATTAGTGACCCCTTTCAGAAACTACTCATTAAAAGCTGTAATGATAAAGATGCCTTGGAAAACTGGGCCGTATCTTCCTAGAAATAGTAGTTGAAGCCTTGGTCATCTATTGGATCTCTAGGAAAACCTTGAAGAAATATTGTCAGTTCTTTTCCTGCAAGGCTTTTGTCTTCTACAGATCTGTGCCTACTTGGACTTTATTTACTCTTGCCACCTTTCTTTCTCATTCATGTCTTTCTGTCAACAAGGTGTAAGAATTCCCATATGTTACTACTTCCTCTGAAAACATCTGCATTTTAATAACAGCCTCTTTAAATGCTCAAGAAGTATGCAAGACCTAATGGACTAGATAGCTAATGGAATACCTTTTTATAAGGAGGAATTTTTTGAGGGGGAGGTAGCAAGAGAGCATTTCTGACATACTTAAACCACACCTTCTAAGTAACTATAAGTTCATAATTCCATCTTTAACTTCTGGTTAGAAATCATAAAATCTTCTGGATTTTGTGATGTTCTGTACTCCAGTGACCCAGTTCAGTGCAGAAGTTCCATCTATAAATTCCTCCACAAATAACAGCTTAACCATCATTAGAATGCTTCCAGTCCTAGGAATTGCACTATTTCATAATGTAAACAATCCAAGTTTTTTAATTTTAAAAAATATTGTCTTAAATGTAAATGCAATAGTTCTGTACTCTGGAGATAACGCCTGTTCTGTATGCCAGCTCTTTAAATCAGAAAGACATTATTATCATGCTCCTCACAGTACCGCTTTCCTAATCTTCCTCTTCCGGAGCAAATACCTCTGGTTTCTTTAATAGGTTCTCATGATACTTTCCAGACTCTTGCCATCATGTCTCCCTTATCAAAATACACCCAGCATTGTTCACATTTGTCTTACATTGTGTCTCCAGAATGAACAGCACAGTATTCCAGATATTGTCTGGCAAGTATGATGTAGATTGCCCCATTACCTCCCATTATCTTGATACTGCTTCTGCTAATATAGTTGAAATTACATTAGCTTTACTGGCAGCTGTCACATTTTATGCTCATGTTGTATTTGCATTCAGATAACAATCTAAAAAACTCTAGTTTTTTCTTTATGTACACTAGTGTTATATCATGGCTTACTTATTCTTTATTCAGTTAATAATTTTATCCTAAAATCTAAAATTTAGCATGAAACATGAAAAAATATATATTGTATTTTTCTCTCTAACTTAAAAGAGAAGATAAAATGCTAGAGCAGAATAGTTCTCTGTTATTAATCTGTTATGATTGTACCATCTTTCATAAGCAGCAGGGAAATCTGTTCTTTCGGCTTCTTGTTGTTCTAAGCTTAGCTTTAAGAGTCCTTTTAATGTTTTTAGTATTTTACAAGTCTCATTTATTTTTGGCCTTTCATTTTTTGACTTATACCTTTAAATGGCATTGCAGCTCAGCATTCATTATAGAAACATTTCAGTTATGGAAAGTACAAAAAAGAAATTTGGATTTCTATGTTGTATTTTCTGACTTTACCGAAGTGTTTTAAGCCTTGGTACTTCCAACTACTGTGCCAGTGAATTGAATACAAATTTTCACTGTGAAGAATCCACATGACAAGATTGAAGGTGTTAATCAAGTCAAGAAATTCATCAAATTTTTAATTCCTGGAAAGCAGGATTGGGTACCAGAACAAATTTAAAGTTTCTAAAGCAGTCATTTGAACTTCTTCTGTCACTGTGAAATATAAACTTACAATAGGTAACATGTCTGAATTCTTGAGCAGTTCCATTTTTTGAACCTATATGTCCTATATATCAAATAGCAAGACATCAACTTTCACTCAGATCCGTGAAGAATAGGTGGTCGTAAGGGGAGCTATTTTGGAAGTAATGCCAGGCAAGGTAGAAGGAACACTTTAAGGACAGTTTTAACTATCACTTCAAAATAAGATGATACATTTGAAAACTAAGAGGGAAGTTGATTTATATTGCTAAGGTTTTGAAATTGGTTTTCACGGTAACTGTTAAAGAACATTGTATTGTTTCTGCAAAAGGAATCTGCAGCCGTATTCTAGAAAATAAACAAGAACAGCAATGATTATTTGCCTATACACTGTGTCACATTGGTCTTTTTAGCTGCTAATTTTCAGTATAATAATCACCAACGTTCTTTAATACAGTAGATAGCAATGTGGGTGATTCAGAACTGAGACCTGGATGTGTTGGGTAAGTAGGCGGATTATAAATTTCAATCTTAGGAAGACAATGTATATTTTCCTGATGTGTTATATTTGCTTATGATTTCACATTGCTTAGCAGTAGAGAAAGAAAGAAACGTAATGTCCTATATATTATCAAAAACATTATTTTATTTCTTTGCTTAGAACATTACCGAATCAGCATTTGAATCGAAAGCAAA